CGTGACCCTTGTGAAATTTGACTTTCTCTTGTGACCCTTGTGAAATTGGACTATACTTTTGTCACCCTCGTGACCCTCGTGATGTTTGACCTTCTTGAAGTTTGACCATTCCTTAGTGATCCTTGCGAAGTTTGACCATTGTAACATTCAACCTTTGTGAAATTTAATCATTCCCCTGTGATCATCGTGAAATTTGATCATCTCCTTGTGACCCTTGTGAAGCTTAACCCTCGTGGAATTTGAATTTCTCCTTGTGATTTTCGTGATCTTTATGATATTTGACCTTTGTAACATTCAACCTTCGTGAAATTTAATCATTCCCGTGTGACCCTCGTGAAATTTGACCATTGCCTTGTGATCCTCATGAAGTTTGACGTTACGTTAATATAGGGTCTCAAGGAAATGCAACGTTCAAACATGTTAATACCCTTAAAATTTGAGAAATCTGAGTTGAAAGGCGATTTCAAGTTTTTAGATCTTAAGTGGATTCCAATAAATCAGGAATAAGGACCATTAATCGATAAATTAACACGTAGAATCCTGTAAAAATGGTCTTTTAATTTTTAATACGTCATATTCATTTGTTTTTGGTTCGAAAGATTATTTCTGACATAAAATTTACCGGATTTCAACTGCGGGAGTTGCGTGTGCACAGTGGCAGGGGGTGCGCGGCAGAGTTGCGCACGAATAACCCATGCGCCGGAGAGCTGCGCACGAAAATCCCACGCGTGGGATTTTCGCCCTCATCTGGCATCAGTGTCCGTGAAACGCTGCCTTACGGCCCAAATGACAAAAAGTTTAATATTTTCCTGTAGACACTCTACAGCATATGGGTGCTCGTCACAGGGATAGAGCGTATTATATTTGTTGAAACACTGAAATTTCCCTGAAAAAGCATAGTTTTTCAATCATTAGACAGTATTTTTGTGTGGCATTGTGGATATTCAATCTGAGCGGGATTAATGTTTTCGTTTATGGAAAATGGTAAATATCGTAAGGTTTATTCTTATTTTAAAAATATCTCGAAAACTACCCAAACGATTTCAATTAAAAAATTTTTTTTTATGATACCTGCCTGAAAAGTTCACTTTTCGAAACCGTTTAGTGCCCATAAAGTGCTTGTTTTACGCATGGATTTTATGGTGGCATAGGTTTTCTTTAAATTCTTAATAAAATCAGATTTTATTACGCTAAAAACCATTCGGAAACCCACCATCAATTTATTGATGGCAAAGAAAGTATAAAAAAAAATTAATGAGTGAGATGTTCACCGCCACATGCAGGGTTCGGGAAAATTGTAATTTGAAATTACCGTTACTCTATTACGCAGTCACTCAAGTATTTGAATGTGAAATTTGTCTATTAATTGGAAAAAGAATAACTCAACGCAGATCGACCGTAATGGTTGGGTGAGTTAGGTGTTGCTCCGGCGGACATCCGAGTGCAGCTGCGTTTAGCGCGGTTAGTACTTGGATGGGTGACCGCTTAGGAACACCCTCGCCCAAAAATTTCGGATGGTAGGCACGGTGCAGTGCCCTAATGTGCCCCTCTAGTCAGTGTGACAGAAGAGCACATTAGGGCTCTGCACAATCGGCCGGCTGTACGACTGGGATTTTCCATGGTTTCCCTTGCAGTCCTAGCCCGAATGGAGTACAGTTAAGAGTAAGATGGCCCATGGTAACGCAGAAAAAATCAGAAGAGAGAAGTGGGAGAGGCAAGGCAGACGAATGGGGAGCCTATAAAACCGTAATGGTAGTAGGAAAGAAATATGAATGAAAAAAAAATTAAATATAAAAAAACTCAACGCACTTATTACAGATTACATAAGTAATCAATAACTGAATCGCCGTGAATATCTATTACGTTGTCATTGAGTAATCGTCATTAAAAATTCCAAATTATTTCAGTAATTGTTAATGAAAATATAGAATTGACCATTATTCGTTCGATCGGTATTTGATATTCAGCCATTTTAGATTACTTGCTTGGCAGTTCAAATGAAATATGAACTTTTAAATATGGACTTCTTTGGATAATCGGTAATTAAGTTTTAAAAATACATATTTACTTGAGAAATGAGTAATGATTACCAGACAATTTTCTGTTACTGATTCAATCATGAACTCAAATCCGAAGTTATCGAATTCAGTCGTTAATCAGTGTTACTAATTATTCTTCAATACGAACAATCAAACTGTTGAATTATTCAATTTCTCGAGTAATCATCAATGAAACCTATCAATTATGTAATTACACAGGTAATGATAAATTATAAATGTTGATTTTCAAGTTACTAAATTCCTGAAAATCGAAACCGGAAATTTGTGGGGAAGGGGGATTTTGCAAAGTGGCGGAGAGGGGGGGGGGAATGTGCATTGAGAATTCATAACCAAAGAAGTTGAATCGGTGAGTTTTTCAAAGATATCTTCGAAACTAAGGGAGATAGCGAATTTCTATTGAAAATTTGGGGGAAGGGGGAGGGATTGTGCTTTGAGAATCTAAAACCAAAAAAATTAAGTCAGTGAGTTTTTTGGTCTTGGATTCTCAAAGCACAACCCCTCCCCCACCCCCCAAATTTTCAGTAAAAATTTGCTATCTCCCTTACTTTTGGAGATATTTTTGAAAAACTGACCGACTCAATTTTTGGGTTGTTAATTCTCAATACCCCCCCCCCCCCCNAAATAATACATATAACCCCTCAATGAAATCCACACTTTTTATGCCCTGCCCCGCACCTAGACCCCCTTATGTAAAACCCTCTCCCCATTGATAAAACCACCATTCAATAAAATCCCCCCGACTATGAGACCCCCCGGATATCACTACCCTCATGGATAATTCTCCCTTAGATGAAACCTCCTCTTTGCAAAATTCCCCCGCAAAAATTGAAAAAATTTTCTAGATTTTAGAAAATATTTTTTCTAAAACTAAGTGTATTTTGGCTTAAAATTAATCGTCAGTTTGATCATTAATTTTAAACGATTTCTACAATTTAGAAAGAATTAATTGTAACACCTAGTTATAAAATAAATCAATAATCAAAAAATTATACATTTTGAATAATCATTCGGTGAGCAATTGAGTAATTGAAAGTTGAAGTTGAACATTTATTGAGTAATCGAATTCTTTTAAACACGATTGACGAATAATTCTGTAAATGAATAATTCTATCTTCGAATGAAAAAATAATTGAATAATCGTTTGACATTAATTCAATATGGAAGATAGTCGGAATAATCGATAAATTCAAATTGATGAATAATAAAAAATTGAACAATTCTCGTTTACAATTTATCATTTTTTAGTGATTGATGAATCTCTCGTCGTCATTAATGATTAATGGAAAGTGTGAATAGTATGCTAATTCATATTGATGATTGATGAAGTATTGAAAATCTTTGTATTTCTGATTATTGGTTACCTAATAAATGGTAATCCGTTTCATTGCAATTGACGATTACTCGGTTATCACTTAATTTCTAATTTCAATTACCGATTAATGAAGTAATCAAAAAATAATGAATCTCAATTAAAAAATTGACGGTGTAATTGTAATTAGAGCTTAAAATATTACAAAAGTAATGATTACTCTCGAATAGGGATGTGAAATGACCGTCATTTTTCAATTCGGTCAGGTCAGGCAAAATTGACCGTTTTCTGACCATTTTCTGACACCGAGATAATTTCCCATGCAAAATGACCGTCATGAACAACCAGCGTAAAAAATTTGAGAAAATGACCAAAATTCCTCTATATAGATGCAAATTGACGCTCATTTTATTTTTGGTAATTTTTTCGGCCAATTTTTTTATTTTATTTCATTAGTTAGGAATTGAATCGCATTTCATAATTTAAAGTTAATGTTTATTGGAACGAATTACAAAAGAATCATAAATACGATACTCGAGATCACTCATGATAAACTCATGAACTTAATAAACGTCAACAAAATTAATTAAATATATATCTCTGTATATATTATGTTTTTGGTCAAAAACTTCATATTAAATTAGGAGGATGCTGGATGAGGCTCGTCTTCAGTCCTTCTAACGAATTTAGTTATCTAGTGTCGCATAGACCCCTAGTGGCGACGTAGGGTCCCTATGACCGCCAGTAATCTTGCCGACACCGAGTAACCGAATAAAAATTTCTGTGTGTCATCTATATAGATGAGAATTGACCGTCAGAATTCAATTGGTCATTTTTTGAATTCCTGACCGAATCGTCAGATTTATGGACATGGTAATTACCCGTCATGACCGCGGTAATTGACCGTCATTTGACCGGTCATTTTTGTCACTCACATCCCTACTCCCGAACCCTGGCCACATGCTCGCTGCCCCGTGCTTGTTTTCGCTATTATTAATAAACAATGCTCCTAGGCTACAATCTTTTTCAATCAGAAAATCATTGATCACGTGTTCTAAATGTGTCTAAAGTTTCATTTAAAGAATACGTAAAAAAAAGAAAAAAATTGCTGCTTTTTTTCCAACCCTCCCTGCTCGCCCGATTATCCGTAAGGGGTTTTCTTTCAATTATTCATGTTTTTTACCATTTAGAGGTAAATTACCAGTAGAATACTGTGTACCTTAGAAAAGCCCAATTTTCAGTGAACGACCCAACCCTGATGTCCACATGCAGAACACCCATGTATAACGCTCATTTGCTTTTTTCATTTTTCGATACCTATAAGTTCTAAAATGTGAAATTATAAGTTCTAAAAAAAACTAACTCTTTCAGTCAACATTGAAAAATATCATTTTGAAATGAGATGCATGACACTTTTAAGTTTGCGTCAAAGTTTTATTACGAACTATTTGAATAAACCCATTGTTGATTTCATCATCGAAATTAAGTAGGTTTAATTCAATAAAGCATTACTCTAGGGGCACCCGAAGAAAGTTATTTATTTGAAACGCAATGGCTTAAAATAGCAACAGGAGATATGAGATGCACGAATTGCTTTGTATTACTGAATTGTAATGACACTTGATCCATACCCACACATCTACAGGTTGATGATATTGGTTGTTATGGAGGTCTCTGGTCAGAGTCGTAGATTGGCATCAGTATATAGTCCAGTGCTCTGCGGACCGGGGACCATTTCGGCAAAGTGCGTTGAAGACATCCACACTGAACTTTTTTTTATTAATATACCATCCTATGTATTCCAAGGTGTTCTCCAAAATAGTGATGATGATGATTCTTGCTGTGTTGATGGTCACTGCAGTGATGGCCAGCCCAACTGAAAGTATAACAGGTTTTTATCTCGTACAACCACCCAAATGCAAGGATTTCCAATATTTTTTAATACTCATTTTGTGCCGTAGGACCTTTAAAAGGCGAAGACCAGGTGATTGAGAGCAATGAACATTTGCGCTTCCGTCGGGTGACATGCGATCTCTTCAGTGTCACAGGCCACGGAGCTTGTGCAGCACACTGTCTCAGCATGGGTAAAGCTGGTGGTCATTGTGAGGATGGAATCTGCATTTGTCGAAGGTAAATGAGGCGTCACGGTTGATTTGAATAAACATATGGACGAGTTATTTGAGAACGACAACTCTATAATAACGTTTTTGTCTTTGATACTTTGCTAATGAGTTATTATTTCACACGTGAGAAAATTTTATTAATAAAGTTAGCGTATACACTAGGAAATTCTACTCACTCTTATCTAATGGAATCTCTAGCTTTTCCACGGGTTTCGTTCAATAGAGAATGTTCAATAGAAAATATTTTATAGAAAAATTGTTCACTCTTTTTCTACTCGTATTAAAAGAATCAAACAAAGAAACTCAAAAAACTTGGGCTGAGTAATTTCCATAACAGATATTTCAATAGAATGAATCGTGTAGAAAAATGAAATTCTATTGATTGTTTTCTATATAATATTTTCTATTGAGAAGCTAGTACCGTTTCCGAGAGACGTCCTATGGAAATTCAATAAAATTTTCTGGCGAAAGCAATAGCTTTTTGTATAATTTTTTTTTGTCGGGTGCAATAGAATGTTATGTCCGGAGAAATTATTAGCGTCGGAGGACTATCTTTTTAATTAGTCATTAAAAAGAAAGCTAAAATTATTAAGATTTGAATTTATTTGGACGACGCAAAGTTTTATACTTTTACCTTTAAAAAAATAAGGAAAATTGTCAAATGGGTTTTAACTGGAATTTTCCAAGTGGAAAGGAATTTTATTATTTAGGGAGAGGATTCGGTTTCAAAAATAGTTGAAAATCAAGAAATTTGGAGGTGAATTTGATTTTAATTGCGAATTTTGAATCAATTAATTTACAAAAACAAACGTATTTATATTACAAAAAATTTAACAACTGAATTATTTCAAATTTCTCTATCCCTGGAATGATCTGAAGGATCTAATTTTGGTCTTATGTCACAATTATTTTACTCACAGTTAAGTCTGCTTTTTGCAGTTGTATAATTTTATGTGTAGATCCTTGTGTTACGTCATGATTTTCCAGTAAATATTTAATAATTGTAACGAACATGTGGGGATGTCCGTTAGGAACACCACCGAGACCTAAACACAACTACCCCCACGACAGGAACAGTCTATCCGTGACCAATTAAGTAGGGTGAGAGAGATTTTTGTTTTCCCACTCCGGTGGAGTTTTGAGCATTAGTTTTCCCATTCCGATGGAGAATTTTTGGAGTTAAGTTTTCCCATTCCGATGGAGAATTTTTGGAGTTCAGTTTTCCCATTCCGATGGAGAATTTTTGAGTTTCGTTTTCCCATTCTGATGGAGAATTTTCGGTTTATTATTTTCCCAGTCCGGTGTGGTAATTTTTGATTAGTTCATGATCGATAAATAATTTTTGAGGGCCCATAATTTGATCGAGAAGAAGGGCCGTATTTAGAGTCATCCGGTCTTTTTGTGGAAATAACCCTTTTATAACTCTCTCGGAAATCATTTAGGATTAATTGAAATATTAGCGCTCCAGAATTTTAGTTGGATATTACGGGGTAAAATGGGCTCTTTTTTTTTGAGTTTTGTTGGAAGGTCACTTGGGGTAAGCGCAACCCTTAATCCCGGTGAATTGCCAGGTTGCCTCAGAGTTTCGGGGGGAAACGTTTATTCTATTTTTTTGTGTGAAATAATTATCCGTAATCAATTATTAATTTTGCCTCGTAAATCCCGGAGATTTGATCCGTGAGACGCATCTTAAATTTTTAGGATCGATCGAGCCTCCATCCGCTCTAAAAATAATTTTTAAGAATTAATTTGATCTTTATTTGAATTTACGCATTCGAAAATCCCCGAATTTATTCGGTGGCTCCCTCGAGGCTTACACCTTGAGGAGAAACTATCTCCACCAATGAGCGCTCAGCGTGGTTGGTCGGAAGTCCCGAGGGCCCGGTGTGCCGCAGCACTGACCTCCGAAATCAGTTCCGCCTGACCGTCCCAAACACCTAGTCGCGTGTGAATTTTTGGTGCCCATACGACGCAATTGTGTCCGTACGGATTATTGTGCCTCAAAGAAGCTGTAAGGATCCAAAATGGTCCGAAAAGGGAAGAGGACCCTCAAAAATAAAAAAACAGTGAGTTTTCTGGTGTTTTTTTTTCCTAATTTCGAGCCATTTTCAAATGGCGTCGTTTCCCCTTCATGGCGGTATCCCTCGCGTGGCCCTCAGCCACGTGCAGTGGTTGATTACCACCCCTTTATTCATACTTGTTCGTCCGAATTTGGCATCTTTTTTTGGGCATTATCTCTCATCCGGTCTTTTGTTTTTATTCCGGTTTATCCCTATCATCTTTTAAGATGATTATGGGGTTCAGCGAGTGTGGTTGTCCAGGATTGGAATTCCTGTCTTTTTCCAGTCGAAACCTGACGATTTCCGACGTGGGCTATTTCCTTCTCCCTCGCTCCTATGGCGANGTGTTTTTTTTTCCTAATTTCGAGCCATTTTCAAATGGCGTCGTTTCCCCTTCATGGCGGTATCCCTCGCGTGGCCCTCAGCCACGTGCAGTGGTTGATTACCACCCCTTTATTCATACTTGTTCGTCCGAATTTGGCATCTTTTTTTGGGCATTATCTCTCATCCGGTCTTTTGTTTTTATTCCGGTTTATCCCTATCATCTTTTAAGATGATTATGGGGTTCAGCGAGTGTGGTTGTCCAGGATTGGAATTCCTGTCTTTTTCCAGTCGAAACCTGACGATTTCCGACGTGGGCTATTTCCTTCTCCCTCGCTCCTATGGCGAGGAGTATCGTTAGTTCGTCCTACGTAAAAATTACGTAGAGTTTTTCCCCTCGCGGCATCCCCCTAACGCGCCGACGAGTGGTGGCTATCGCTTTCCGTAAGTGTCCCGTCGTTTAAAATTCCCTCCGGAGGTAAATTAATCCGAAGAGGTTCCCAATGATCCCAAAATTATAATTTTGGTTTCATGGGCTCCGCTAGACCTCCCCAAGCAAATTGGCTTTGAGTTTTTAAAAATTGACTCTGCCGATTTTCCGCTATGGCGAGTTTAGTTTTAGCTAATTTTTAATTCCGTCCGCCGTACACTATGCGTGCACTAGTGAGTTCATTTTCTCGCTCTCTCACGCTCACGGGGATTCGCATACTTTCCCTCCATTTCTCGACATTCTCGAGTATTTCGGGATTAATCGATAATTTTTTGTTATATTATTGTGTGAGGGATTGGATGACCTCACCTACGGTCGAGTAAATCGAAGTATTACTTTTGGACTAAATAGGAAGCTTTAAAGTATTATTTCCAAGCCAGTATTTGTTATTTAATTAGGTATTGTTATAAATTTTTTTTTGTTGAGATCAATGCGAAGAGAAAATCATGTAAATTAATAATTTTTCAAATTTCCATAGTGAAACACGTAAGGACGATGTCGATTTCTTCTTTTTTTTTGTAGTTCTGACCACCCAATACCCGTCTCCACCTGAAATCCACCCCTCTCTCCACAAGCTAGCACACTGAGCGAACCAAGGACCGTTATCTTTCCCCAGGAATCTAGTTTTCTCCCTTTTTGAGTCAATTTTTGAGGTATTGGAATCAATTAGAATTGGTTTTGTAGATTCATCCGGTTTGGTAATTCCGGCTAAAAATTACCTGGCGCCCATAGATTTTTGCATTTTTGAGTTTAACTAGATGAAGGGGAAGAAGGGCGAAGGCAATAGGCATTTTTAACCCCCATACGAAAATGTCACGTTACATAATAATTTTAATAATCAAATAAATTCTGGAAAATTATGACAGTTATTTTCTCCTATTTTAAGCCTACCTTTCGGTAATTGCTCGGAATTGGAGTCGGGTGAATTGTTAGAATAATAGAGGATAAAAATTCACAATAAATGGAGTCAATATTTATTTAAATCATTATATTCCGATTTTAATGAAATCAAATTCTTTGAATTAAACAATTTACAAATGGATTAGTTTTCACCAATTTTGAATATAAACTGTCATACTATATAAAATTTTTCCCTCGAATCAACACGAAAATTTACATCAAGAATTGAAATTTTTTTTTTATATTGAGTTCCCCGAACGAGTAATATCGTTTAAAAATGAGACTCGCTTTCAATTACCTCCAATGCGAAATACTTTTTGAAACCACGTATTATTTATTATTTTCTAATTCCATTATTTTTCAATCATTATCAATTTTTCTTTCATTTCAATAAAAAAAGCGATACGTCTCCAGACGTAACACTTGGGTAAATCCAAGATTTCCTCACGAGAAATTAGTCAAGCTAAAAGCTATTATGGATACTTTCGTGAATACACTGTCTTCTACTCTTTAGATTATTTTAACAAGTTTTTGATAGTTGAATTGTTTGAGTATGAGTGAGATTGTCCGCAGCACTTCACAATAGTCTAATTCCTTAAATGTAAGAAGAGACCCCACTCTTGATTAAAGGAACTATATCCCCGGATAAAATCAATTGTTCGTTATTACTTTATAAATATTCCGCGTAACATCGACTTTGCACCGCTACGAACGGCAAGATTGAAAAACCGGATGGATTAAATGAACTTTTAGCAGAATTGCTACTGATCCGCGGCTGCTTCGAGACTAATTAATTTGATTTTTCTGGGGTTTTTATATGAATTTTAAGGGTCACTTGATATGTGGGGCTCCAACGAGTTCAACGAATTTTTGGTTGGTGGAAAATGTATGACTTTTCCCACTCTTTTGATTTTTATTGGGGAAGTAGTTCATTCGGTTTTTGGGTTTTTCGATTCATTGTTTTCCAATTTTTCCTCCATGTACTAATTTTTGTATTGTGAAACGGGGGCATGCTGATGAAGCATTTTCATCTTTCTTGCTCTCAATTTCGTTATTTTTTGAATTATTGAGCTCAGGTGATGAAAATGCTTTTACAATTATTCTTTTTTTTGGTTTACATTAGGTCTAGATTTTAATTTTTTAATTTAAATTTTGTAACGAAATTTTCCATCTGGGGCTGGAAAATCACGTCAACTTACCCATTTCCCTTGGATTAAATAAATCAAAGGATCAAATTAAAAAAAAACGGGGAACGACAAACCGGACAATCTTCGAAGCTGAACCTCGACAAGAAAACGAAACCCGAAAACGTAATTCTTAAAACTGTAACGTCACATTTTCCATGGGGGTTAAAATGCCTATTACCTTCGCCCTTCTTCCCCTGAATCTAGTCAAACTCAAAAATGCAGAAATCTATGGGCGCCAGGTAATTTTTAACCGGAATTACCAAACCGCAGGAATCTGCAAAATCAACTCTACTAATTCGAAAAACTCTAAGACGTACAAAAAAAAGGGAGAAAACTAGATTTTTGGGGAAAAGTAACGGTCCTTGGTTCGCTCAGTGTGCTAGGTTGTGGAGAGGGGTGGATTTCAGGTGGAAACGGGTTAATGGGGCAGTCCAAACTACGAAACAGCAAAAAAAAAAGAAGGAGATCGACATTATCCTCACTATTGAAATTCAAGAATCACCAATTTTACAAAAAAAAGACATTTCAATTCTCTCAAAACAATATAAAAAAAGAAAAATCCACAATTAATAACTAACAATACTGACAATAATAATAATCATAATATTAATTACGCACTCTGATAGAAAATAGTCTAATCTGACAAAAATATTCGAAGAAATTAATATCGCCGATAAATACCTCAAATATGCCGAAATAAACATTTGGGAAGAGTGGAAATACACGCTAATCCCTAAATACTCGAGAATTCCGAGAATTGGGGGGAAAGGTATGCGAGCGACGATGAGAGCGAAAGAGAGGAAACCGTATTCATCCATCGATTTTTCATACCAGCCAAAACGGCTGAAATTCCGCAAAACTCGACTTGCCATAACTCGAGAATGGCAGAGTCAAAAATTACGAACCCTGAGACAAAATGTCCGGGAGAGTCTACCGAAGACAACAATACCCAAAAAATAATTTTCACTAAATAATTAGCCGCCTCAGGTTAATTAATCCCCGAGCGGAATTCTAAACGCAAAAATGCTCGCGTGAAGCGAGAATAGC